ACTACAAACATATTAATGCCAAACATCTCGGTAGAATTTATAGAATATTGTAAAAATTATGGTCTATTGCCAACACACACACACACACACATATATATATATATATATATATATATATATATATATACATATATATATATATATATATATATATATATATATGATGACACATACTAAGATTTTTTTCTCAATATGGAAGCAGCAATCGAGTGTCGTTCAACGTTGAGTTTTTTTCAAGAAACTTGTGTCGTCATCACGCTCGTTTCTTTATTTCAGGGCATCAAACCGGAACTGAACCGTAACCGAAAACCTTTAAAAACGAAATTTCGCTCGGAACAAAAACCGTATCTCTCATTTCGTTTGTTTTTTGGCGGCAAATAAGACGATCAGTTGTATCCATTTTATTTAAATTTAGAGCATTCATGTCTTGCTTGATTGTTTGCGACCAGGACTTTTTTGGACAACCTTTGAGACGATTGCCAGTTACTTGAACATCTGCAAGAGAAGTTATGGCACTGTTTCCACTTCGTTTGACATGACCAAACCACCGCAGACGGTGTTGCCGGCATTCGTCCTAAACCAGCACGACGCAAGATTTCGGTAGATTTAATGTGGTCCTTCAGACTAATTCGTTGCATTCATCGGAGCATTTTCATGTCGATTCGTTGAAGTTGTTGTTCCAGTTTGGTTGTCAATGGCCATGTTTCTGCACCATATAACATCACCGGACGTATCACAGATTTATAAGGTCTTGATCGTAGTCGTAGTGGAATGTCACGCCGCATTAATATAGAGACAAGGAAATGCCATTTATTCCAGGCTGCACGTATGCGTGCTCGAACGGCAGCTTCAGCTGTTCCAGTACAATCCAGAACATCCCCTAGATATTGAAACGATTTGACTTTCTCTGCCTTAATGGCTTCAAAAACAGTGCTATTTCGAATTTGTTGTTGTGGATTGATGCAAGCAGACAAACAAAATTGGACACTTTAGATAAAGTACCAATTATTTTTGAACAACGATGTGAGACCAACTAGTTACATTGCTGACACTTGATTGAATTGTTAGCTACACCAGCTTTACAAACTGAACAGGATCATCGTCCAGTAGCTGTGGATTGGATGGGTTCACCAGTATTCATTGCTTTGGTTTTGCTGATGTTGACTTTGAATCCATGATCGGCGAGTCTGGTGTTCCAATCTTCAAACATCTGTGCTGCATTCTGCTCAGACGTGGCTGTTAAAACGATATCATCAGGATATATTAGATTCCAAATGTCACCAGTGCGTATCGGTTTTGTGATTTCTTCAATCACAGTTATAAATAACAGTGGACTGAGAATCGAGTCTTGGTGAACTCCAACGCCGATGTCAATGCATCTGTGTTTCCAACGGGCGGCGTGATGGCTCAATGGTTAAAGGCGCATGGTCTTGCTATTGCAATGACTGGGTTCGAATACAAAGAGATCTCCGCCTATCATATGCAATGTGTATGATGCGTAGTTTGCACGCGTATGTTTGTCGTTTGTGTGTGTTTGTCGTTGAAACCTCTGAAGCAAACGCATAAAAGAGAGAGAAGCCTTCAACTGTTGTGCTGACGAGAGTCTTAGTATTCTTGTACTGTACATTTCCATCACAAGTCGAAAAAGATATTCTGGAATGAGTTGTCGACGTAGACTCCACCTGATTGCTTCACGGGGAACTCGATCAAATGCTTTTTCAAGGTCTACAAAAATGTGTGATAGTTATTGACGCTTTGCGAGATACTTCTCTTGCAGTTGCCGAAAGATGTTAATTGCATCAATTGTTTATTTTCCCGCTAGGAAACCAAATTGATAATTTCCGATTGTGATGCACGACGTTAATCTTTTCTCAATGATTTTCTCGACAATTTTCAGGGAGTGTTCTAACAGACTTATACCCTGATATGATGAACAGTTCAATGGATCACCTTTGCCTTTGTATAGCGGAACTGTCATGCTATAGTTTTATAACAACCAATATACACCCTTCACTTTATACACAAATAACGTTGGATTTAAACGTGCATACACAAATATTACAATTAACGTACATGTTCATTCCACACATACGCTTCAATGTTTTAATTAAATATTTAACATTAGTCAACCATTTTATTTCAATTGTTTGATTCGCTTAGACTTAATCTCATATAAAGTTATGTTTTCAAAATCAATTTTAATTACAATTGAATTTAATTACAATTTCATTTCATCATTTTATTAATTATTTTAATTTATACTTACATTCACTTAATTAAATTTTATTATTTTACAACTCTTCCGTAATTATATTGAATTAACGGAAATTAAATATAAATAAATTATTTTTGTAGGTTTAAGTGGCATGATGTTTTATCATTCGATAAGATTTATTATGAGAATACATAATTGTTTAGATTTAAATCATTATTTTATTTTAACCACGGCGAATGCAAATTTTATCGAAATAAAGATTTTTTCAATAAAATACTTACAAAATCCGGATAATACTCCTTTGCAAAAATCAACTGCGAGTCTATGAGCGTAATAACTACTATCAAAAATATGAAGTAGAGGCTTATGATTTTTTCAAAAAGATTCGCCATCATTCAACTCGAACGTGTATAAATTACTTGAAAAATAACTTCAGAGCACGCCGTAGCATCACATTTTTAACGAGACGTAACACGTCTAAGGCGGACTTTAAACCGTAACATTTAGCGTTGTTAAGAAAAGATTAAATATTCCTCAAATTTAGCAACCGAAAGTCTTGTTCGGATAGTTTTTGACAAAAACTCACGTATACAAAATGATTTCATATCATGCCAACAACACTTCAAATAGTCTACTTTACATACCAAATATTTGATTGATAAACCTCATTGTCTACTTACACAGTGTTTTGAAAATTTAATTTAGTTTTAAAATAAATTTTTTGTATCAATATAAAACGATTTCTTTTAACTATTCGGTCATTTTTATGTCATATAATTCTTATTAAACAACAAAATCTAAAATCCAAATTTATAAAATTAAATGAAAACAATATACAAATATAAACGAGTCATCAACGCTTATCAGTTATGTATGAATGAGTACAAAGATGATAAGGATGTTATAAAAAGCCGAGTTTCTGTCGCAATAAATTGAGTAATGAAAAGTAATTGGGCTATTTGTAAAACCATTCCTAAAAAGAATTGTTCCAAATGATTGTTCCAAATGAATTAACAGTTAAAAAGGATCATAGAATTCTTTAAAAGTATTATCAGATCATGTGATACAGAGCGTTTTACAAATTTTCCCGAGTGTTCTCAAATTAGCGGGCAATTGCAATTCATTTGTATTTCATCATTACTGATATTGAAGTTGGTATTATTTTATGAAGGCCCATTGTTAGCCGTTATTATTATTATTAGCAAACAGTTTTTCATTATCTATTAATTTATAATCTATTGAAAGAATTAACCTCGAGCAACCCGTTTGCAAACCAATGTTTTTGAAGATGAGGTTTTTATTTAACGTGTTTCAAATTAGATCAAAAACAGTCTAGTGGACTTTTCAATTTTTTTTTTCCAATCTAAACAGCATCCTTACATCGGCATGTCACCCTAATATGTAAATCAACATTTGTACCATGTGTTATCAGTCATAAGTTCGAGTGCCTTGGCACTTCTATCTGCAGATAAAAAAAATACAACCAAATTCAGTTCTTTTTCCTTGATACCATCATGGCCCGATTAACTAAGACCAAGAGACAATGGACAAATGAAGCCCGCTTAGGACTCGCCATTTTGAGTGGCCCGGATTTGGGCTCCATTTCTGTTGCAAATTTATAATTTCATTTTTATTTTGAAATTTTAATTAAGTGTTTTTTATAAACTTTCATTTGCAAAATGTTATTGCAGTCTCTCGTAGCTTTCACCATCATTATCGTAGACGACTTTTTGTAAGAAGTTTACTAATCCGCTGGGATCATGGCCGAATATTTTGAGAGAGTATGAATGAATAATTCACTAATAAAACGCTATCACAAAATAAAAAAATTTCAACAGGTCAGCAACTTAAACGTTTTCTCTCCCAAAAATTTTTTCACATTAACACCCAAAAAATTGGACATACATAATGTTCATAAATAAGAAAAAAAATAAAATACCTACACATACTTACTCCAATTCATCAAATATCAACCTATGAGAAAGACCTGATTGTATGTTTCCATTTATATCAATTTTTGAAATGAGTAATATATACAACACTCTTGTGCCAATAATTCTGGTTATCAAAGGCTGTTAAACTGTTTTACAACTGAACAATTTTTCAATTTTATTCGTGAACGTAAGAGCTTCTTTTTAGATAAGGCATTTCTACCTAGCCGTAGACACGTTGCTAATTCTTGAAATCTGTAAAAAAAATCTATTTTCAATTTTCTACTTTAGTCCAGTAAAGTTCATTCCAATCCTCTTGATAAGTAATTATGATATTACAGAACAAGAGATTTTTCCTAAACATCTCACCAGATGCAAATCAATAATTCTGGAAAAAACCTAATTGCCCCTTGGACTTGGATATATTCCAGCTTTAAATTTTGAAATTATCTTGGGACTCAATTTAAGCATCATTACTTTTTGCACTTTTTCTTTCCACCAGGAGCACAGTGAACCTGACCCAGTTTTTGAGAAATATCATAGTTGCTCAACTTGATAACTTTAAGATTACAACTTTTGTTATTAATATAGAAATGTTTGTTTGTTCAGTAATATTTTAATAATTTGGTGGGTACGTTATATAACTTTTTCATTGAAAATTATCAAAACATAGCTAAAAAATTATAGTGTTCACAGTTTAAAATCGTTTAATAATTACATTGATATAAACTTTATATTTATAAAGAAATCGACATTAAAATTCATGCAATTTACGACTAGAATATTAGATTGATGAAATTCAAATAATTCCATTTTAAATTCCTTTCTTTTTGTTACTAGACGATCTGTTGAGAATTAAAAAAAAATACTTTGACAGTGAAAAAACATTAAAGCTAAAAGTTTCTGAAACCTTTTTTTCGATTTTGGGGAAGTGCTTTGAAAAACGCTACTCGCAGCCATTAGATTTTCAATGTACTGTCCTAAAACCAAGTTTTCAGACTTTAGCTTCAGATTTTCCTCCTTCACTGAATCTACTCGTTGAGACAAATCTATAAATTAGAAAAACAATTTTATGAAAAAAAATGTGCGAATAGATTTAATAAGCAGAAATTTTATGTAAGTTTTTATTTGATTTCCAGTTTGGACAGCGTGATGGCCTAGTGGTTAAGGTCACTGGTGCCGTTTCACAGTACGTGCAGTGACCGGGTTCGAACATGGCAAAAATATCCCCGCCCATCACATGCTTCGTGTGTGATGCCTTGTGTAGCAGGTATTCCTATACGATATTTGTGCGATTTGTTAATTCCTTCGAACCTAGCAAAAGAGTAATATACATTTCAACATTCTATTAACCTTTGATGTACAATGCAATTTTAATTTATAAAAATTGTTGAAAGCCAAAATATTAATAAAATAAAATCAACTCTGCCGGCGATGTTTATACCAATTCCAAAGAATAAGATCAATCAGACGTTATTTGACAGTTGAGTCAACAAAAGAACTCGTTTGTAGTTTTACATGTGGAAGAATTTACTACTGTAAAACGATTATGTATAGTACAACTTATCTCTTCTCGATGATTTGCAGTATGTTCTGAACACCGCAGAGAGACTTGCTGCTGGTTATTCGGAATTCTATTCAGTATCAGCATACATCAGGGATGATCTACGTTGGCTCAGTTTGCCAGAAAGAATCTTTTTCAAACTAGCTCTTCTAATCAGAGATCGTCTTGCTGGTGACGCTCCAACTTATTTGAAACTAACAACTATTGTTAGTTTCAGAGATTGCAAATCGGAGTCGACTGAGACCCTCCAACAATGGTGATCCAAAACACAATTCGTCTCGTTCTGGGAAATGAAGATTTTCTGTCTGATCTGCAAATATCTGGAGCAAACCACCTACAGATTTGACGAAATTCAACAACATGGGCCGACATGTTTTCAAGAAACGTTTGAAACCTCATTTGCTTTTACATTTTCGAATGAAGCTAGTGGTTCTGAAGTTCTTCAACAAAAGCGATCCACAAATCATTGGATACAGATGTACCTCAAATGTATTAGGATATGCTCAGTTTATTGTTTTACTTTTAACTATTATTCTTTAAAATTCATTTTCTCTCAAACGTAGAAAATATTACAAGTAAGAAAATATAAAAATAATGATGAATGAAATGAAATAAAAGCTAACGTAACAATTTAAAAAACAGCATTGAAAATAAATTAAAATAGGGTTAATTGTTTTATAGAAAACGAAAAAATAAACAAATGGATAATTAAGATTAAAAATAAATAAAATTAGATATTATTCATCATTAAAAATTAACAATGTGAATGACGAGTTAGAGGTGCCTGAAGATGACAACAAGACCGAGCAATTTTTATATGTGGGTGACGCTGGATCAAATAAAAATATTATAGTTATTGAAAATGTGGTAGATTTACAAGCTTGCCTGAATGGTTGGTTTAACATAACGAACATAATTCGACAGCTTAACGTACGTATAGGACGTTTTCATAAAAAATTAAAAATATTTCGCTTTGCTTAAATTTTTCGGTTTTCTAAGGAATTTATTAATTTATAAAGTTTTATTTTCGTAAAAATAAATTAGTTTTCATTTTTCGCAATTAATTCGGTAGTTTAATAAGACAATTTGGTTTCATTCGTTTTCACTGCTCTCTTGGAGTAATCAGAAATGTCTCACTCCACCTCGACAAGAGCAGCAGCAAAGAAGTCTGAGAAAGCTGTTATGGAACCTGATGATTATGGCCTCAAACTGTGTGAAAAATGTCGCGCTGAGAACTGTTCAGTCTTAGCTGGCTTGGTCGAAGGGCTGAAGGATACACCTAAGCTTAAAGACGAACTGTCCGAAATTAATAATAATATTAATGTGCTGAAACTTTTAATCGAGGATATTCAAAAGAAGGAATTTCAAATTAACACACAGTTAGATGATTTGAAGAAATTGAGCAGTGACGTTGAATTTTTGAAGCAGTCCTCATTGAGTGGTTCTGCAGAAGTGGAAAAAGTCAGAAAATTCTCAGACCTGTTCTCTAATAAAGTAGATAATATGGCTTGTGATTTAAAGACAGTTGTTTGTTCTGTTGCTGCAACCGACGGCAGAATTAACCTCAACAACGAAAGAAATTTGAGGAAAAACAATATCATTATTTTTAATATAACTGAGGATAGCCAGTTTTCCAGAAATAAGGACAAAGAAGCAGTGCTTGGGTTGCTAAAAGTTTTGTTACCTGATTTTGATTTTTCGAAGGAAATATCTGATTGGTTCAGGTTAGGTAAGAAACCTGAGATAAATCAAAGGCCCAGACCTGTTGTGATAAAATTTTGTGATTTTGCTGTTAAAAATCTAGTTTTAGAAAATTGTTCTAAATTGAAAGGAAATGTTGAATACAAGAAAATAATACTATCAAACGACCTGGTCAAAGAAGATAGAAATGAATGTAAAAAATTAATTGAAGAAAAAAAGAAAAGTTTAGCTGCAACTGAAGATACTAATAAGTTTGTTTTTATAATTAAAGGTCAACCTGGGGACTTCCATGCTGTTGCCATCAGAAGGAGAAATTTTTAGATAGCAGTAAGTCAAGTATGTCTGTGTTAGCAATGAATAACATTTTTACAATTTTGTATGCCAATGTTGACACTTTAACAAATAAATTTGGTGAATTGGATATGCTGCTAGATACATTCAATGACCCTCCTGAAATGATTTTTTTAAATGAAGTAAATCCAAAATTTTGTAAATTTCCTCCCTGTATATCTGAATATCAGCTAAATGGTTTTCAAGTGATCTCAAAGGATTTTGGTGTAATTGGCTGCAGAGGTTTGCTTGTGTATTTTAGAGATTATCTGCATATCATAGAATTAAATTTGTCTTCAACTTTTCAAGAGTTTATCTGTGTTAAACTGTCATCTAATAACAGAGATATCAATTTTCTATCTCTGTATCGTAGTCCAGGAAGTTCAGACTTAAATAATGATTCTTTAATGCAGCTGCTGGATGAATTTTTGGAGCTTCCTGGTTTACATATTTTCCTTGGAGATTTGAATTTTCCAGAGATTGATTGAAACATTTTTTGCTCAGGTGGACTCCCATCAAGGATTGATAACAGGTTTTTGGATTTTCTTAATGATCATTATCTGATGCAACACGTCAATGAACCCACAAGAGCGCGCAGTTCGCAGCAGCCTCATATTCTAGATCTGGTGGTTTCTGATATTGACATCGTCAGGAATATTATTTACATGGCTCCTCTGGGTAGCAGTGATCATAACACTCTCTCTATTGAACTGTTTATATCAGGCAGGAAGACAATTTCAGTTAATAAAAAATTCTGTTATGATATTGGTGATTATGCCAAAATGAGATATGATCTTGACAATGCTGTGCATGATCTGTTAAATTCCTGTTCAGAGTCTTCTGTGGAACAGCTATGGATTGCTTTGAAAGAACTGCTTTTGAAACTAACTAAAAAATATGTTCCTTTGAGAAAAACAGGTAGGGGACGTACATTTAAAATGAATCCAGAGTTGCTTAGATTAATAAAATTGAAACATGTTTATTGGAAGCAAACCTACAAATATGGTATAAATTCGTTGGTTTTGTTCAGATCAACAAGAGATAAAGTGAGAAGGTTATCTAAACAGCTGCATATTCAAAGATTGGATGAGATTGCCAGAGATTTTAATACAAATCCAAAATTATTCTGGAAACGAGTAAACAGTGTTAGTCATATTAAGGATAAAGTTGGTTCCTTAATCTATGATGGCAGACATGTTTCTGATGATAAGGATAGGGCTGAGATTTTTTCGGAGTATTTTTCATCTGTGTTTGTTGATGATTTGCCGTTTACAGATGATGTTGAATTTAATATTCCTGGGATTTCAGATAATGGTATGTCGGAATTGATCATCGATAATAAAACGGTCCTTAAGAAACTCGGGGACATTAACCGAAATAAATCATCTGGCCCGGATGGAATTCATCCTAGAATTTTGTATGAAACTAGGTTTGAATTGTCTGGAGTCTTGAGTGTGCTTTATAATTTATCCTTGGTGAATGGTGTTATTCCTAATGATTGGAGATCATCTTTTGTGGTACCTATACACAAAAAAGGAAATAAAAGTCTGCCTTCCAATTACAGGCCTATTGCATTGACTCCGATTTGTTGTAAGCTAATGGAGTCAATTATTGCTGACCATTTAAAAGATTATTTTATAAAGAATAATTTATTCACAAGCCGACAATACGGGTTTTTGCTATTTCGATCAATCACACTGCAGCTTTTGAAATTTATAGATGAGATAACTGCTTCAGCGGAACTTGGTAAAAGCATAGATGTCATATATACTGATTTGGAGAAGGCCTTTGACACAATTTCTCATTCCAGATTATTGTTTAAATTACGGAAATATAAAGTCCATGATAACTTAGTAAGATGGATTGAAGGTTACCTCAATGAAAGATCATTCCGTGTTGGTGTAAATGGTCATATGTCTAGTGCTAAACCTATCACAAGTGGAGTTCCTCAGGGAGGAGTGCTCAGTCCTCTTTTGTTTGTGATCTATATCAACGACATATACTCAGTTTATAGCGATATTTTTTTATATGCCGATGATGCAAAGATATATGGTACGTTATCTGAACTGCCTGATGGTGCAGTGTTGCAAAGTTCCTTAAACAATATTATGTTATGGTTTCGGAAATGGAGTCTTAAAGTCAACGTTAGTAAATGTAGCTTGTTGTCAATTGGTAAATGTTTTCCAATGAACTATGAAATTGTTGATTCGAATGATGTTGCTCATATCTTACCAAGAGTAAAGAGTATGCATGATCTAGGCGTGATCGTAGATAGTCAACTTACTTTTAAAGAGCATGTTATGACGCAGATAAAAAAATCAAACCGTATGTTGGGAATTTTATTCAGAAATTTCAAGGACCTGTCGGATGATGCGTTCGTTTGTCTCTATAAATCTTTGGTCAGATCACGTTTGGAATATGCTGTGCAAGTCTGGTGCCCATATAGAAAAGGTTTATCTGGTGAATTGGAAAAGGTCCAAAGAAGAGCTACCAGAATTCCAAAGTCATGTAAAGGTTTAGATTATAAATCTAGATTGATAAAATTAGATCTGCCATCTTTGGAATATAGACGAATCAGGGGCGACTTAATTTTAACTTATCAAATTCTCCATAATTATGTGGATCCTTCAATTTCCCCATTGTTAGATCGTCGTGCGGACAATGGCACCAGAGGTCATCATCTCAGTTTACAGACTCGTCTGCAAGGAAAGATTGCAGAAAATATTTTTTTTCTAATCGAGTCGTGAATCCTTGGAATGCACTGCCCGTTGACGTTGTAGATGCTCC